AGAAAGCACCAAGAAAGAAGAGGTGCATGGGAGCTGAGGAGTAAGCCCGCCGTGAGCAGACAGACAGGGAAGAGAAGCAGCACTGTGGCTGTGCCTACAGAGCGAGGTGGGGCACGGCACGCACACTGTCTCCATCTGCTCTGGTACTAAAAGGGCCAAATTTTAATTTATAACTTACAATTAAAAAATGAATCACTGGGGTGAAGCACCAAGAAAGAAGAGGTGCATGGGAGCTGAGGAGTAAGCCCGCCGTGAGCAGACAGACAGGGAAGAGAAGCAGCACTGTGGCTGTGCCTACAGAGCGAGGTGGGGCACGGCACGCACACTGTCTCCATCTGCTCTGGTACTAAAAGGGCCAAATTTTAATTTATAACTTACAATTAAAAAATGAATCACTGGGGTGTGATGTCTTCTCATTTCTGATATTTCAGCATCATTTGCCTTTGCTCCGGTATTTTAGGACAGGTCTCATCTCACTGCACATACTGTATATGCCTTTAAAATCTGATAGGCTCAATAAACAAAACTCCAAAGAAATATTAAATACACCACTATGCTTGTAATATTTTCTTTTCTTAGTGATTTAGAGGAATTCAGGGATCTTGCAATGTTGTATCATCACCACAAAACCCAGTTATCTACATGGTTAACCATGTCACTTAAAAAAAAAAACTTCTCTAGTACAGGAACATATGGTTTGTAAGAACTGGACACTCCCAAGTTCAAGTGTCAGCTGATGAGTGGTATATTACCTCATCTACAAATGTGATCTGGTCACACCAGCATCTGCTGCATGTGTTGCCACAAGTAAGGTCATTGTGTAAACACAAGAACTAAACCAAGGCTTGTGCAGAAGCGAATGGCACTAGCATCTAACAGACACCCAAGTGAAAACACCATGAGCATGGCTCCCACAACACCCAATGACGTGACCTTCTGCTGGGTTAGTTCAAGGAACATGAAAGCAAGCTACACACGAAGCTCTTTGTCAAAATGAATCCCCTCTCACTGGAAAAGACAACATCTGCACCCACACTTCAACACTCTCCTAAGGCCTTTCTGTGACTGGAAGCTTTCCTCTTTTTTGTTTCCTTTTGCTTGATCTAAAAAACCCTCCCAGTTCTGTAGGCAGTGACGCGCCAGCTTTGTCTGGTCTTAAAGGAGGGTCTTCTGAAGCTCCTGTTTTGCCTTTTTCTGACTGTTCTCATCAGCTCTCTATTGTGCTCTTTAAAACAAGAATTCTGTGTTACACACTGGACAAATGGCAGTATCTTCACCACAAAAACCACGTTTCTTGGTTCACTTACACTGAAACGTGCGGTTCTCTTGGTAGACACCCTTTTCCCCCCAAGAGAAGACTCCCTGGGTCAAATTCCCCTCTCTGTCCTAGGCAGGGCTCTGTACTGTCCTCAATCAGGTTCACTCCCTCCACTCTCAGCCTCCCAAGGCTTGGCTCACCTGTCTTCCACAAGCAAAAAACACAAAGCCATACAGGGCCCAGAGAAAAGAGCAGGGCAGAATTTGGCTCCCCAAGGGAGTTCTTAAACAGGTTTCACTTCAAACTTACACAGGTTGCACTTGGACTCTGGCTATTCATCACTGTACTAAACAGGTTTTATTTGGCACAGTGACTTGGTGCACTGAAGGAAATAATCAAGGCCCCACAGAGAGCACCATGCAGAAAGGATGCCCAACTGAGGAGACGGCAAAAGCCAGAGCTCCTCTTTCAGTAGCAAAGGGCTAGAGAATAGAGCCTTTAACAAGGAAAATGAGAGCCAGGGCAATGCTTGTCCTTAGTGCTGGAGAGCAGACTGCTGCTCCTGTTTCTGTATTGTCACCTCTGTTAGTTCTAACTGACTGGATACTAAGGACTCCACAGTGAAAACAGGTCAAATGTTTCATGTTATTTCAAGGACCACATACATACTTCACAAGGTAACATACAACGTAAGGACTAAAAATGAGCTGCCTATGCCACATTATGTTAGTAACATGCTGGTCTGAGAAGTCCTGGTCACGTTGCAAATTCACTCACTAGACTGTGTGCCAGCAAGCTTACATACAGAACAAACACCTAGATAAAGACATGCTAAGCTACAGCACCTGGTTGTGGGTCATATGCAAGGATACAAGGGTTGTTGTCATCGATGTTGCTGCTGTCCAGGATCAGAGGAATACCATCCAGCTCGTTCACCTATGGAGAAAAATGATGGACAACCAGGTCAGGGTCACAGGATAGATGACTCATTTCTCCTCAACTTCCTGAATATTATAATATTATTTGCATAAATAAAACACCTGTTACCAACCCCGAATTATTTAAAATCAGACATCTGGGTGTTGGAGAAATGGCTCAGTCAGTAAAGGGTTTGCTTTGTAAGCATAAAGACCCGATTTGGTCCCTAGAACCCTTGTTAAAAAACCAGGCAGTATAGGGCTGGAGAGATGGCTCAGCAGGTAAGAGCACTGACTGCTCTTGCAGAAGACCCAGGTTCGATTCCCAGCACCCACAAGGCAGCTATGAACCGTCCTTAACTCCAGTCCCAGGGGAATCTGAAGCCCTCTTCTGACATGGGTGCACTCACATACATGCAGGCAATACACTCATACACATAAAATAAAAATAATAAATAAAAAACAAACAAACAAAAAAGCCAAAAAAAAAATACAGGCAGTGGCTGGGCGTGGTGGTGCACGCTTTTAGTCCCAGCACTCAGGAAACAAACAAAAAAGCCAAAAAAAAAAACAGGCAGTGGCTGGGCGTGGTGGTGCACGCTTTTAGTCCCAGCACTCAGGAGCCAGAGGCAGGTGGATCTCTGTGAGTTCAAGGCCAGCCTGGTCTACATAGTGAATTCCAGGACAGCTGGGACTACAGGGAGACCCTGTCTCAAAAAGACCAAAAAAGGAAAAACAAAACAAAACACCAGGCAGTGGTGCACACTTGTAATCCCAACACAAGGAAGACACAGACAGGACAATCCCTGGGGCTCGCTGGCCAGTCAGAAAAGCCTCATCAGCAAGGTCAAGGAAACTGTCCAAAAACAAAGTTGATGCATACTGAGGAATGACAGTGGAGGTTGTCCTCTGACCTCACATGCATGTGGGTACATATATATGTACCTACACATGCATACACACAAAAAAAGCAGACATATGAACACAGTGTAACTTCATATTCTTTTCACCCTTCCTCAAAACTGTTAGGGCAATTTGGCAGCCATATAAAAAAAGAATGCATTATATCCTAATGCTGCCTCACAAGGACAAATGCTGACCTAATGAGCCGTGACTCCTGAATGAAGAAATGCTACAAGATGACAGACCAGACTCTTGTCCTATTCTGGAAGTAGGAAATGGTTTTCTAATTATGATTCAGGTCCAGAAACGAAAACTTTGGTTTGGTTTGTTTGTTTGGTTTTGAGACAAAGTCTCCCTGTAGCCCCAGCTGGCTTGGAATTCACTATGTAGACCAGACTGGCCTTGAACTCACAGAGATCCACCTGCCTCTGCCTCCCAAGTACTGTTAGTAAAGGCATGTGCCACCACACCTGGGTATATATATGAGTGTTTGGTCTGTACCTATGTAACTGCACCCATGTGTGTAATGCCTACAGAAGAGGGTGTTGGGTCCTCTGGAGTTATGAATGGTTGCTAGCTGCCACGTAGGTAATGGGGACTGACCCCAGGTCCTCTGTAAGCGCAGCTCTTAACCACTTAGCCATTTCTCCAGTCCCTTGACATTTTTCTTAACAGGCAAATGAAAAAAACTGAGAAAAATATCTGTAGGGTACTACAGATTGATATTTGAAACGGATTAGCATTTTACTATATAAAGAACTTGTAAAAACTGGGGGCTGGAGAGATGGCTCAGCAGTTAAGAACACTGGTTGTTCTTACAGAAGACCTGGGTTCAAATCCCAGCACCTACATGGCAGCTAACAACTATCCATAACTCCAGTTCCAGGGGGTCCGATGGCCTCTTCTGTTCTCTGTGAACACTGCATGACACAGGTGCACTTACCTACATGCAGGCAATACACTCATACACATAAAATAAATATAATAAATACAATATTTTTTTTAAAAGAACTCACAAAAATGGAAAGTCTGAGATTACTGCTCGGTGGAAGATGAATGGCAAGGGTCAGGGTACGGGCTGGAGGAGAAGAGCTTGAATATCATTCTAGGAATTAGGAGACAGGTAGTAGGACTGGGGGCTGAAGCCCGGCTAGATCCCAACCCTGGGCAAATCATGGAACCTTCAAGATTTAGTTTCTTCACCTGTAAAATGGGTTATGCAAAAGTCTACTTCAAAGGGCAATAGTAACTGTGCAACAGATCACAACATATGGTGAGCACAGAGAAAATGCTCTGTGAAGGAACCGATGATAGAGGGTCTTGTTGCTAGCTGACTGTGGCAAAGAACTGGGGACTCCTGAAACCCTGAAGACGCAAGGGTATCTTCTACAGGGCCAAATACACACCTGTATTCTGCATGGTGCCCAACTGCCAACTTCTCAAATACCATTTTTCTTGATAAGCAAGAAAACAAAATTATTCAGGATTTAATCAGTGCAAGAAAAACACCTCCCAGGGGCTGGAGAGATGACTCAGTGGTTAAGAGCACCGACTGCTCTTGCAGAGGACCCGGGTTCAATTCCCAGAACCCACATGGCGGCTATGAACCGTCCTTTAACTCCAGTTCGAGGGGAATCTGATGCCCTCTTCTGACCTCTACGGCATTGCACAACATGGGTGCACTCACATACATACAGGCAATATACTCATACACATAAAATAAAAATAATAAATTAAATATAGTTAAAGAAAAACACCTCCCTCATTAAAGAAAAAAGTAAAACCTAACACATATCAAGTGGGTAAGATTTTCTTAGATAAAAATGAAATCACATGCTAAATGCTGAAATTTATGCAAGCAATGCAGGTAAATTAAGGATGTCTTGAGAGCTTGTTTGGAGGTTCTCGCAGGGGAGTGCAGCTACTCAGATACCCTAACTGGAGACGGGTCCTCCTCTTTGGGGAAGGTCATACTCTTCAACAGAGCGCATAGCTTCGGGAGGGACGCACATGGAGCATTGCGGGAGGAAGACAACACCCGCCTAGCCAGCCAAATCAGTCAAATCAACCCTGGCGATCAATGGGGTGACATGTCGCAGCCAGATCGCCCTCACATCCAGTAAATTAAAGATTTCTTAAAAATCATGGCACAACTGGAGCTGAGGGTGAGCAGGGGAATGTGCTTCTAGGCAAACACCTCACTCCCACAGCTACATTACAAAAGGTTACAAGGAAACTTTTTATAGAAACGCACTGACTGTTTTCAGCATAAACGGTCTATTCTCAACACAGATGACAAATACATAATTATATACTTAAGAATGAACACAGGTTAAGGTCACTGGGAACAGTGAACAGGAATGCAACACCTTCAGGAAGGGGCCAACAACAGAATTTGTTATTAGAGCTCAAGTTTATTGCTACAGCTACATGTGTAGAACTAATGTCTGGGGCATGAGAGAACAATTAGGAAATTAACGAGTTTTCTTCTGTTAGCACTCCATAAAATGAGGAAGTTGTTTGTTTCCTTACCTAACAGGTTGGGAACTGATTGTAAACCCATAATAAATGAGTCACAAGTTGTAGTTCATTTGGCAGAGCCAAGCTCAGTCAACGCTTTCTTTATACGTAGTAATGCTGCCCAACAAGATGGTAAGTCTAGCTTCAACAAACATTTGGCCCTTGGAAACAGTGTAGACAGAGACAACTAACTGATCCTCTCCCTTTCTTCTCACAGGCCAGTGATGCCAGGGCACACTGCAAAACACACAGGTCCACCTCTGAGGAGCACGCTCCTTTGGGGCTGGCAGAAAGCCGCCTCAATTATTCTGGCTGTGTTGACAATGAATGTTAAAAACACAAAAACCTAAAGAAAGCCAAGAGCACACACGATACCAGGATGGGCAGACTCTCTTCTCAACATGTGGCAGAAACATATTCATTAATAGCTCCCCAGAACATGCAGACCAGAACCACAGATCAGTAATCTCATGCCAAAATGAATGGGCATTGCAAAGCTCAGACTAAATGTCCATCTAGGGATGGCAACATCCTGGAGGCAAGCTGGCAGTGAGCTCAGACAGCTGAAGGATGAAGGAACTGTCTCAAGGAGATGCAGAAACCTAGGCCTTTGGGTGAGACTCAGTTACCACTATTCTCCCCTAATGGGGAACATGGGGTTTTTGAGACAGCTGACATGTGGAATTCCTCCTCAGCCTTTTAGGCTTGTGAGCTTTAGTCAATGTTGGGGTTTTTACATGGGACACAGTACTTTGGGGAAAATTATGCATTTAGCAGGGCACCCAGAATGCCACAAGAAAAGTGGCAATGATTTGTAGCATTTTTATTTGACTCTGAGACTCTAAAGGTCTCCTTTCTCTTTTTTGAAAAAAAGATATACCTTTTTTTTTTTTTACCCAGGCGTGGTGGTGCATACCTTTAATCCCAGCACTTGGGAGGCAGAGGCAGGCAGATCTCTGACTTTAAGGTCAGCCTGGTCTACACAGTGAGTTCCAGGCCAGCTGTGGCTACAGGGAGACCCTGTCTCAAAAAGACCAAAAAAAGGGGGGAGAGAGAGAGAGAGAGAGAGAGAGAGAGAGAGAGAGAGAGTCCTGTTTCTATTTGTGTGTGTGTATGCCAGGCGTTGGGGGTGGGGCACCATGGAGGCCAGAAGAGAGTGTCAAGATCCCATGGAGCTGGCATTAACAGATGGTTGTGAGCTGCCCAACCTGGGTGCTGAGAACAGAGCTCAGGTCGTCTTCAAGAGCAGTTCATGTTCTTAGTCACATTGAGCCACCTCTACCCCAAGGTGTCCTTTTCTATATGACTTGAAAAGAGTTGCACACAGTAATCCTCTAGGATGACAAGCTGTTTGACAACAAAATTCAGATAAGAAAGATACTCTTCTAGAATCATAAGAAACTGGTGGTTGTGGGTTACTCTAGAGTTAGGGCCATGTTTGTTCCATGAGCCGACAGACCAAACCTATGGATCACTGATTTCCACCCTTACTCCTGCTGGATTCTGCCTTACATAGTAATTCCAAGATTCACACCAATATGAATATAGTACCATTCATCTTTAACGACACTTGTCTCCGTGATCTTTGCTGCAGCT